GAATAACATAAAAGATTAAATCCAGGGGTACTAAGAGCTTAACACACTGCATGACATGAAGTGAAAAAGCAAATGTAATATTATTGGTTAAATTCATTTTGTTATGTTTGCTATCTTGTGTTATTCATATTTGATTTTGTTTTCACCATGTTTTTTTTCTTTATAGTTTATAGATTAAGCTTTGCTTACATTTACATTAACATTTGTTGATTTTATTTTATTTTTGTTTTAGTTTCAATATCACCCCTACCCACCAACCCACCTCCAGACCCACCCCCTCTTGAAAGGAGGCCATCATTTACAAAACCAAATCAGGCTCTGACAAGTCCTGCCTCTTCCCCACCCCCTGTGAAGGACATTGGGGAGCATAGGAGCCCAGAGAATCCACCTAAAAGTGCACCTTTGAGTCCTGTTAGTCCTGTAAGTCCTGTCAGCAAGCAAGGTGTGGCAGTAGGGGGGCTACAGGATGGGCCTGTAAAACCCAAAAGAAGTGCCCCACCACCTCCCCCTTGTGGTAAGCTTGTTGCATAAACATACTGTAGAATGATGAGATAGAGTATTACCATGACACCAAGTAGTTATTATTAACAAATACCCAACCCCTTTGAAACAGTCAGCAGGATTCACTTCTCAAGGTGACATTTTGATGCAAATTTAATTTCTCTGCATATAACTACTATTGCACTTTTGATATAAGTTCCGCTATTTATTGCCCAGGGTCATTGCCCAGGGTGTTATATTCCTTTGAATAAGTTTCACTGAAGCACAAAAAGGTGAATTTATTGCCTTATTGCTGCTTTCTCTAGTAGCAGTAGCTACTTCATTGTGCATCTTATGATTGCCTACATGGGAAGGAATGTGTGTTTTAAGCTTCTTGGTAACCCCCAAGCTCATAATGCACTCAACGTTGAAGGATGCAGGATGTTGAAATGATATAATTTAGCACAGGGGAAGGTGTGCCAGGCAAGGATTCTGGGAGTTCCCTGTGGGATCCAGTGGTAATGCCTGGTTAGAGGTTTATAGGAAGAAGTCATAGAAGTACAATATAAAGATTCTATGCCCTTCGACTCCGTGAAAGTGCCCCTCTTGATAACAAATTGGAGAAATTTGCCCAGTCAAACATTCTCTTGGCTGTAGGAAAATTCTTCCTTCTAATCGACCAGTTCTCTATTGGGGCCAACGTCTAATTTATACAGAGTTTGACGAGGCAGAACTAATTTATATATTACAGTATGAACATCCTTGAACTCACATCTTTTTTATGCTTATTAGTTGGTTGTGATTTACAATATTTGTTGTTTTTGGTAGCTTCCAGTCCTCCACCGCCAAAGTCACCTTTGTCCCAACCTGTGACGCCTGTGAAGTCAGCTAGTCCTAGTCCTTCTCAAACAAAATCTCAGCAAGTGTCATCTCCAACTCTCAGTCCATCTCCACAAAAAACTCAGTCAGTCTCATCACCAAGCCCCAGTCCATCTCAATCAAAATCTCAGTCAAAGTCTAAGCCAAGTAGATCATCCAGCTTCACTGAACCACATGGTGCCGACACGGATACGAACCCTGCAAAAATGTCGTCTCCGAAATCGACGATCAGAAGGGCTTTTGCCAGCATGAAAAAACTGGGGGGCAAAAGGAAACACAGACACAGTAAGACCATAGAGATTAGTGCTCCTATTGCAGTGAATGATGAGGTGCCAGGCTTTTTGGAGCAGAAAGAGGCAGTGCGGCGTCGGACCTTTTCCGAAGTGAAGCCTCTACAAACCGAGAAGACCAGGGCGTCAGAGCCAGATCAGGTTCAGCCTGCAGAAGCTATTGCCCCTTCCGCTGAATCGGTACTCCCACCTGCTACAGCTGAACATGCTTCATCTACCACTCCTCCCTCCACTGTGGAATCACCAGCCATTGAGGAAAGATACGGCAAGAAAAGTTCTCCCATTATGCAGACCAAGCCAGGGATTGGCTACCAGAACTTTCCTTTGTCAAAGGGAGGAGACACCCTGGAGCGTCCAAAAAAGCCTCCTCGCGTGGCCAAAGTTGTCAAACCATTGCAGCACAACGAGCCGACGCCAGGTCAAGGTACCAACCAGCAAGAGGAAGAACCAACCTATCTGCAACCCAATGAAGATGAGCTTACAATCAAAGTAGAGACAGCGTTGGCCAATTTGACTGATGCTGAAATCCTCGCTGAAGCTCTATCAAGAGTGGAGCAAGAATTACTTGGACCACTACCAGCCATTCCTAGATCCCGGCAGGTTCATTTCCCAAGTGAAAATTCCGATGGCTCAAACACTTTTGCGGTTGGCAAACCAGATCTCCCGAAGCGTCCCGTACGGGTCGTTTCCCCAACCCTCATCAACGGGTCAGGGGACAGGGGCGATTCCAGATCTCGCCCCAGACTTCCCTCTAGGCCGCCAAACACAAAGCCAGCGGAACAGCCCATGCGAGAACGATCCCAAAGTCTAAGAACACAAACTTTAGACCGACAGAAACCCCCAGCTTTACGTATCCGAAGTCAATCGATGACTGCGAATGTCCTAGAGAAGCGCTACAATAAGATTTTGAAACTGCAGTTGCAAACGTTGGAGGAAATGATTCAGTCTTGGAGAGGGGAACTGCTGCCTGACCCAGAGCTAAACTTGTCTGATACGCGGTGGTCAGACTACGAGCTCTGTGGTGATGCTCTGAGCGTGCAATGTCATGGAGCTGTTCTTCTACCCGTGAAATGTGCCATGTTTTGGGAAGGAAACAAGAAGTTACTTGCTAAGGTCAGTGTTGTAAAACATTGGGTCTGCATGCACGTATTTCTAATTTGTTCATGGATTTTTGAGAATCTTTGGTTTATACCCTCATTCCATTCTGCCGGGTGGTTGTTGTAATTAAGAGCATTTTTAATGTTTTTGTATTTATTGCTATTGTTATTTGTTTTTATTTTATTGCATCCTCGTTTAATCAGGTGGAATACCCGCTGCATTCCAGAACTCGCTCTTCGGAACCTTCACCTAACCAGCAGGATATACGTGTATGCGAGGCTCTGCCGTATCACGTGAACATATCTCGTG